AACGTCCACAATTGGCGCGTGGCCTGCCGTGCTCTGCATTCGGTGTGCGTATGTACAGCTCGGCCTGGCAGCCGGTTAGGGGAGAGGGTACAAATAATTGAACGAACGAAGGGGATGAAGAGGAGAGACATACCCAGGTCCGAGTACGAACTCCCCGCCGAGCTGCGAGGCGTCGCCGCCCCGCTCCCACACTGGCATCCCGACGCGCAACGCGTGCGCGACGACCATCGCTAGCCCGCTCACGGCGCCGTGCCGCACGTAGGAGCCTACTCCGTTCTCAGCGGTCGTGCTGCGCGCCTTTTGACTGCCGGACGGGACGTGGCCCATGCCCAGAGCGCGATACAGCGCCTGCCCTGGCGACGCATCGACGAAGAGCTCGTAGGGAAGATGGAATATCTCTTTGACACGGTTATCAGATGTAAACTGTCCCATATTAGTTGACGCAAACACAACGTACGGCGATATGAGCGGATGAGTCCGTACGACCCACACCCGATCACGACGAGGCGCACGCCGGACCGCGCGAGTGCGGCGTGGTCGACGTCACGCATGAGCGACGCAAGGTAGTCCTGACACATTGGGCACCTGCGTAATACGAAATAGTTAGCACCCTTGACAGTAAGTAGCCTTAGCCTTCGAATGAAGAAAGTGCGTGTACCAGAAATGCCGGACAAAGACCACCACTGTGCGTTGGTACGCCACAGCTCACCAAACTGCACGCGCACGCCATTCTCGCGCACTACGGGTAAGCGCGCGGCCTGTGTGAGCTGGGCAGAGCTCAGGGCTCCTGCTGCTCCCGGCTCAGAGAGCGAGCGTGGGTGCGCGACATTGTGGTGATGGTGATGGTAGCCGTGCCGCTCTGACATACTAGTATGGGGGCTATGTCGGCCATGCGATGACGAAGGCGACGCGTCCCGTCGCCGCATTTGAGGAGCAGACGCTGTCGACGTGCTATCTGGGTACGAGGAACTTGACGAAGCCGTCCACAAGATGGTTGAGGCTGAAGCGCGCGCCGTGCGTGATGGCAGAGGAGTCGTCTGCGCGGAACGCGGAGGTGGTGGGGGTAGGGGGACTTGAATTACTTGGGAAGCGGGTAAAGGGTGTGCAACATGCGGAACGGGCGGAGTGGGCGCACGCGCGGCACGCGGGGCGGCTGCACCTGGAGGCGGACCGTTGTGCGACGATGCGGATCGCGCTACATGAATAACATGCGACGCCGGTTGTGGCGCGCCTTGCGTTGATGACGTCGGTGCCAGAGGAACATGCTGGGCTTGCGTACGCATTGACCCGTGGCCATACGCACGGGGCGGGGGCGTGGGTGAAAACTTGGTGATGGGGTCTGCGTTTGTGGTAATTGTAGGCGGGCTAGGAAGAGGACGCGACAGTGGCAGCGGCGTCGAGGTACTGCGTTCCGCCCCCGCCCTGTGAGGGCCGCAGGATTGCGAACGCTTCTTCAGCGGGGGTGTAGGCTCTAACTCTTTTTAACATCAGTTTTTTTATGCCCGCACGCTGGCTGAAACATGGGTACGCGACACAGGCGGGATACCGTCCGTATTTTTTTGTTGTGGAAAGGCATGCGAAGTAAGAGGTGTAGGCGCGGGCTGCTCGGCATATGCCGGGCATCCAGCTTGCACAGCAGCGCGCTGGTGAACCTCCCGCTCCTTCGACTTGAGAGTAGTCTCAACCGTTGGTGGTGCCCCTGTCGCCGTGGCCCTCTCGGCTACGATGACCGGCGCTTGCGTGACCGCTGGGGGCGTACTAGCGGCTGGAGGCACGACGATAGACGTATCTTCAGAGGCAAGCCTATCTGCGGCTGCTGCAGCTGCTCGCAGCGTGCTGCGCAACGACGATGACGTGCTGCTTCTCCGTTCTTGTTCCGTCACTGATGCATGTGCACGTAATCGGGCAAAGCGCCCCGTCTCACGTTCTACGGACTCGGGCTCTGATTCGACTGCTTGCTCTTGCTTCGGAAAACGAAACTAAGCTGCAGAGGTAACGCGTCTAGATCTTGCAGTGGCATGGATACACGATGAGGGTTTGAAATACTGGGTGGGAGAGAGGTTGCTAGGGTTGATGGAACCGGAACGGCCGGGCGGGTAGAAGAGGTCATGGGTGAAGTGGTGAAGGGTGATAGCTTGGCAGGTGGGTGGTGGATGGGTGGATGGGGAAATGAAAGCACGGCGGATGGCGGTAGCGACACAGGACGACTGCTCCGAATGGAACTGGGAGTCTGTGGGCGAGAAGGAGCGTTGTAAAAGACCATGTCGCGAGACCAGGAGCCGATCGAAGATATGGATGGACTCCGTTTCTCGAGAGGATGTGGGAAAGGTAGCGAGTGACGAGGAGGGCTCCCTGAACGGTCCTCCGCACCGTGAGTTGCAGGCATATCGACTTGCATGACACGCATGCCCTTGCATACCGGCACTGCATCGCCAGAATGTTCTGGCACTCCATCAAGTAAAGGCACGGACACGAAGGAACTACTACACGACCGTGATCGTGCCGAAGTCCTAGTCACCTCCCTTACCCCATGCGTAGACTCCCCCGACGAGGTCGAAGACGACGTGAGCACGCTCGCACGGCTACCGTACGGAGACAACAGGTAGCGCCTGACAGGCGGCTCCACGTTGACCTGGGGCTCTGGTGCAGGCCGCGGTTCCAGGAATGAAAACGTGCCCGAACGCAACGCGAATACCGATTGTGAGCGACGCCGCGCCTCGTGACGTTGCATCTCCCCCGCACCTGGGCGTAGAGTCGCAGAAGTGACCGTCGCTGCCACCGGGACTCCAGAGCCGGACGAATATTCATGTAGTCCAAGGCCCATAGACGCTCCCTTGCGCAGCTGGGCCGCATGCCCTATCCACCGGCTCTCCCCAGACGGGAATCTCAGGGCGGTTGATTTCTTGCGCTGGTGCATGATAAAGGTAGTGAGGTCAACTACCTTGGAAGAACCAGGGGTGGAGTCCGGGATTGCAACAGGTGATTCGTACGATAAATTTGTGAGCGTCGCGGTGCGATCTCGGAGAACAGAAAGTGGAGCGAAAGGGTCATTTGGGTCGGGCTCTGGGTAGCGTGTGGAGTACGGAAATGGTGGAGGCGGCTTACGCCTGATACGGTGCGCACCAGCATCTTGAGGTGATTCGGAGGACATAACGTCCAAGCAGGTGAGAAGATAACGTTAGCAATACGTTGCGGGGTGGGACCTCAGCCTCCGGGGCAAGGATAGGGAAGCAAAGGAGGTGAACTCACGGGGGCTGGAGTTGGTTCAAGTAAGTGCAAAAATGAGGGGAAAACGTTGTCACTAAAGGTATGGTGTGGGACGGCCACGTTGGCGCGGCGTGGTAAGTAGGGTAATGGATCACGTACATCACTCTTCTCATCGCATTGGAGATTCGAACCTCGCGGCATTTGCCGCCATCTAATAGTGTGAATTACCAGTTACCATGTTGTCTGGAGTTGCAACAGCTCGCCTTCACTCTTCCATCGTATGAATGGTAAAAACGCTTATCTTGACCCGAATAGCGGCATTGGCCCGACCGATGGGGAATCCTGTATTACACGTTGAAGTGGTTACCATTGTAGTGCGCCTCAAAGAGGTGTAGAAAGGAGGCTCCAAGCCTATCTCTAGTTTAACAGCGCTCATGAAGAGTGCCGGGAGCTTGACGACGAGTGAAGACCCCAAAGAATAGACATGGAATGCCACAGACATAACGTAAACCGCCTGCTTCAAGAGATGGGTGTCCAGAAAGACGGGTCGTCGGGAGTTTGGTTACGTGGAAAGATGCCTTAACAATGTACCTCCGCGTCTCCGAGCGCCCAGTTTAACAGGTTGAGCTGATCACCCTGCCGTGGTCAGAACTTGACCCGCAACGGCAGGTGTTACGGGGAATGTATGCATTCGGCAGACTAAACATGAATATTTCAGTGTGAAATGATGCGGCACACATTGTGACCTTGGGGGATTTGGCTAGTTTTCATCTCCGTAGTCGCCGTGTCTTCGAGGTAATGGCATGCGCGTTCGCCGCACAAAGCTCGGATGTTCCGCGAATAAGAGCAGTCTCCGAAGCGTTATCGGGCTCAGGAATAGTCAAGGAAGAGCCTAAAAACTGGTGATGCGAGCAATCGAGGTAGAAACGAGCTAGACATCAGAAAACATGCGGCAGCGGAAGGGAGAGCGTGGATCCACCAGTCGGAAATGAGCATGTGATTGCGGCGTTCAATACCAGCGAATCCATACCGCGCACGAAGATAATGAGATCCCCGCAGAACATCATGGACGGGGGAGCGTCAAACATGGAAGATAGCATCCCATACACGGGTCGCACGTAGGCAAATCTAACTGTCGTCAAAATTTTGCCAGCGGGGTGGGGCGTACGCAAGACCCGCAAGACCGAAGGATTGGAAAATGGCCCTACGAAGAGGGAAGCACTGGGTAGAAAGATAGAGGTGTTGAAAGAAATCCAGTAGCTCCCAGAGGTCAGTGAGCCCATCATGCATGTCAAGATTTCCTTATATTGAGGGCTGTACCGAGGAGTTGGGGCAGAATTCCCTACAGAAACGGATTATTATCGGGGCAGGGAACAAGGTGACTTGCAAGCACCTCGACACACATCCCCGTCTACCGCGTATCTGCCAATTCCCCAATCAGATCTTTCGTTCTTCCGATGCACATAAATTACAACACACCTGATTTAGCGCTGCAGCATACCTGTCATATTATTAGCGATGGCGTATGGCACCAGATGTAACGAGTTGAAGGCAAGACACCCATAGTGTTCCGCATTGCTTGTCACAATTTTTGACTTGTACCAGTACTACCGACTCGGAAAATGTCATTAGGTGTGGTCTCCCGATAAATTACTTGCGGGACTCAAGGTCGATACACGTTTAGGCCGTGATGGTACAGCGCTACACATGGTTGTATTGGTGCAACACCACACTACGTACCATGGTCAGAATTGAATCAGGTCAGGGAGATGAGATATGATTCACATCCATCCGCCGGGATAGCTCAGCTGGGAGAGCAACAGACTGAAGTGCCTTAGCATTCTGGAGGTCCCGTGTTCAATCCACGGTCCTGGCATTTTTTCTTGCACACAAATTCATGACTTGCCTTCCACCTCGCTGCTGCCGTTGTCCCCAGCAGCGTGGTTATATCAGCAGATAAGATCTTCCCAAGTGCCAAACTTCTGACTGCGATCTGCGCCATCTGTTGGGCTGTATGCCTAAACTGATAGGAATGACCGGGAACAGGTATCCCGCAAAAGGGCTTCTTCCCGAGGGATGTGTTGAGTGAGACACGGAAAGCCGACGATATATGACTGCTAGTGCTGAACACGTTGATCAACCGATCAACCCGCTGTCAGAGATAGCAAAGGAAAAATCCATGGCCATTTAAGCACTTTTATGACTGCTCAGCAGAAGGTTCATCCGGGTCCTTCTTCGGTGGCCGCCCACCAAAGATACTCGTCCCGACGCGCACAACATCTGCGCCAGCCCTCAGAGCCAACTCAAAATCAGCCGACATGCCCATGCTCAACAAGAGTCTCCTCCTCTCCCGTCCGTCCTCCATATCCACAGCTTCATCGTCGCCCCACGCCCCCTCGTCATCCGGTAGCATACGCACGAGCCGATCCCGAGCCTCCCGCAACACCGTAAAATCGTTCTCCCCGCCTCCCGGCGCGCCGATCGTCATGAGCCCGACGAGGCGCAGGCGCGGGCACGCACGGATGACGTGCGTCGCAAGCTGGACGATCTCCTCGTCCGCGCCGGCAGCGATCCCGCCCTTCGCCTCTTCCGCCGACGTGTTGAGCTGCACGAGCACGCGGAGAGGCGCATGCTCCGCCGCACGGTGCCTATTGAGCGCGTCGGCAACTTTGGTGCTCGTGAGCGTCTGCACGGCATATAGGTTCTCGATACCTGGGGGCGGTCCCGCCCATCAATCACATAATAGAGTAGAATAGAATAGAATAGAATAGAATAGAATAGAAAGGCGGGAAGTGGGTGGGTAAGAGAGAGGAATTGGTGATCGAGGCCTACCGGCGAGCGTTTTGGCCTTGTTCGACTGTACGGTGCCGATGAAGTGCCAGCGCACGTCGCGCGGCAGCACAGCGGCTTTCTCGACGAGCTCCTGCGCGTAGTTTTCGCCAAAGTCGCGCTGCCCTGCGTCGTAGGATGCGCGTACATCCGTCAGGGGCTTGTATTTGGACACGGCCACGAGAGTCGGCGTGCGTCGGGACGAGCTGGACGCGGCAGTGATGCGAGCGCGGACGTCGGTGAGGGCGGCTTGCAGCTCTGTAACGCGTTCTGACGGCGGCAAATGCACAGGGGTAGTAGATGACGACAATAATGTGCTCATTGTTCTAGCACGAATCGGGGCGTGATATCTGTTGATGATGATGCCGAAATCAAGGACCGTTGCTCGCATCTGGAGGATTCTCTCGCGCAGACTCGGAGCGGAAAACTTGTGGGAATAACCGAGTATAAGGCTTTTTAAGGAAGTTATGATTTAACAGGCCTTGGACGCATCATCACAAATGCTGTACTGTACAGTCGACAACAGGGTACATACAGTAGACGTACAACATCAGCGTCATCACCACCAAACATATGATCGAATAAGGGCGCAGAGAGTTCAGTATGTGAATGGCACAGGAAGGAGGAAGGGGATGCGTGATTATGTGCGTCACGGTATGACACTAGGTGGTGGGTTTTGTGCAATGTAAATACAGGTGTGCAAGGGGGGGGGTACTGACAGCGGGGATACTAAACGCATGGTACACATATCGGGGACGGGGGTAGAGGCTAAAGAAACAAACACAGTGAAACATAAGCGAAGGAAGTACCAGAGGGGTATGGATAAGGAGACATTGTCGAGAAGTTTTTGCTGAGCGTCTCACGTGTGTAAGTACTTCTCGTTAAGGAGGTGCACCTCACGGGCGAGGTATGGCCAGTTGACACAACGCGCAAGTTCCACGCGCTGGCGCACCGGGTCACCAGCCGCACGCTCGTGTGCGAGCTTCACCTCCCATCCGCAGAGATTATACAGCAAGCGCATGTTCGGCTGAATTAATACGCTCAATCGGCGCGAGCGTACGATGAGATATGCCTCGACGAGGGAGATCCCGAGATACTTCATGACGTATGCGATCGTGACAGTCGCGCTGCGCGACACGCCTACACGACAATGCACGAGTACTTTGCCGCCTTGCTCGCGCGCCCGGTCGATCCATTCACAAATTGGGGCCAGTTGGGGCTCGAGTGTATCAATGCCATCGTCGCACACCCCCTTGATATCGAGAACCTTAATCCGGCCTTCGCGCTCCTCGATGTACAGGCTGCCACGCCGACCAGGTCCACTACCCGTTACTACAGCGCTCGACGTTTTTATTGTGCCCACAGTAGCCACCATCCCGGTAGAGCCCTCGGTTGGAGGTGGAACGAGCGCACATTCCCCAACCGAGACAACGTGCGTGATACCGAGAGCGTGAAGCATATAGGCATTCCCGGCGTGATTCCTGCGGGTTGGATCTGATGTCAGGTGATAAGATACATGAAGACAGAGAGGAAGCGCACAAATTTCCGAGGTACAAGAATGGGAGCACACGGCTTGGAAAGCTTCCATCGAACCGTGGGTCATCAAACCAGACTTGATGGTCATCCACCAGTGATGGCAACAGCGGGCTCGTACTTGCACGGGGCCGTCGCATCGATGCAATGGGGGCACTTCCCGTCTCTTCGTAGGATGCAGACATTGCACTCGAGTTGATAGCAGGAGTGAGAGAATTAGCACGCGCGGGCCCAGAGAGGAAACGACGGGGGGAGGGCAACCTCGCATGGCGATCACGTGTTAGCTTGCTCTCAATTGCCTTCAGTAACCGCACGTCGGTTTCATATACGAAGAAGCTGCGCTTCTTCACAACCTGCACCGAGACACCTTTAATCGCTAGTAGTTCGAGTGTGTGTTAAAGAACTCACCTGCAGCTCGAGATATGCCTCTGGCAGTGTCATGCCACGCATTGCCATGATCAACGACAAAGCAAGCACACTGCTCTCAGTATATCCGTCCGAGCTCCAAATTAGTACCTTCGCAGGCCGCCCGAACCCGCGCTGAGGATTAGACTTAAGCAACTTTTCCAGGAACTCCAGGAACAGGTTCATCTCATCAACAATGGGGAGTAGAGGGAACGGAAGGTATACGATAGCCGCGGCATTCGGTGGGGGCCGAGGTCCTCTCCCACCGGCGGCCTGCCAACGCCGCTCGAGTTCCATTAAATGTTCCTGGGCACTGAGGAGGAAGCCTAGGGAAGGCCGAGGCGCCCGAAGTCGGCACTCGATGCAAACATCATACCCCATACCATCTGAAGGCGAGTTTCCGGCGCTGTCAAGTAAATCGATGCCTCGCCCTGAGGGGTCACCTGGATTACCGGGTAAGAATGGCACATCGTTGACATTGCCGAGGAAAACCTGGCCTAGGCCAGGGGTCCAGGGGTGAATTTCCTCCGACTTGTTGTCCTGGTCTGGGGATTGTATGGTGAGAATCTCACTGGCGCGGGTCAGCTCTCGCATCTCCTCCTTCTCACGTTGTGCGAAGTTGATTGTGCGTGGACCCACGAGGAGATGTTTCAGCTTGGCGCGTAACTCCGCGGGGGTGGCATCGAGGACGAATACATTGTAAGGGATTCGAGAACCAGCGCGTGCTTCTACAGCTTGCTTGAACTTCTCCGCAACAGCAAAGGCGGCTCTAGTCGCCCCTCGGCGGGAGTAAACAACGATGTCCGAAAGGGTTGCATAAATTGGCTGGGAAAAACAGATAGAATTAGAAGCAGAATTGGGTTTTTGGGAGAAGAGAAGAGTAAGCCGCTCCACCGCTCCACCGGAAAACGCTAAACCGATCGTCACCGGACAGGGGTGGAGCGGGGTGAAGCGGGGGGCGTAATAATGATTCCCTTTCGGGGATGTGGCGCGAGGAATGAGTAATCGCCTAAATTGGGTTGCTCACTCCCACAGAATGAATGCCATTCTGGATACCGCGGTGATAGCCACGGCCAACTTGTCAACTATCACATCGTCATATCCACGGGTGGTCCCCGAAACAATATGGAACTTCCCCGCAGTGATCACCTGCCACTCCGGGGTAATACAGGCGCCCGTGTAGAAATCAATGATGAATCACGTCGCCCACTCTCGGGAAGGAGCGACGGAGACGAGTCCCACTAACCAAGGGGAAAGTAGGACGGAATGATAGATAGGACACGTACCAATTGGATATCAAAGTTGCGCAATGAGATACCGTCGGGAACTCGCAGAGGGACAAACACAGCGTTCCCTTCTGCATTAAGTTGTAGTAGCTCTCGGGGCTTGAAGCCAGAGGCAATGAGAGGGGCAGTGCGTGGATGAGGCTCGGGGGACGGTGGCCTGAGTGGCATACATGAGGGCGTAGGCGAGTCGACCGAAGTCGCCGGGGTGGATGGGGGAGGGATGCCAAGGGATTGGGACGAGGAGGACGAGGATGAACTGGACGAGGCCGAGGCGCTCCGGTCGCGAGGCATGGCCGTGTTGGTATATATGCGCGGAGCACGGCATTGTACCGGGTGCATATGGGGTGCACTATCTGGTTCTGGTTCCAAGGTGTCGCAGGCCGGGTCGATGGGCCTAGGTGAAGGGGAGGTCGACGGAGGGGAGCTAGACCCTTCTCGCTTATGGCAGTTGTGATCGAGGTCAAGGTCGGTATCCATGTCCATGTCCATGTCCAACCCAAACGAATGCCCGACGTCACCGCCGTCACTCCCGCGCTCGTCATCAGAGTCGTCGCTGGCGATGACATCCGAGTCCTCACTGTCGTCGCTAGAGGGGGTATCATCGTCTTCACACGCGACCCATATTAGGCCACGGAAACGGGGTGGGATTACGGTGGCGTCAGAAGAGACGGAGAAAAAGGCGTTCTGTTGGTCATTTTCGCCCTCGAGACCATGGAGAAAAGGGAAAAGGACGTGGTCGGGTGCATGGGAAGTGGTTGCAGTATGATGAATGGTTGCAAACTGAGATGCAGAGATGGCACGAATGGGTGTATGTGGGGCAGGA